TGCTCAGGCAATTCTCTCACCTCAGCCTCCCAAAGTGCTGGGATTATATAGGTGTGAGCCACTGCACCCAGCCTAAAATTTTTTTCAAAAAAAGAAAAAGTTGGCCAGATGAGGTGACTCAAGCCTATAATCCTAGCACTTTGGGAGACCGAGATGAGGGGATTGCCTGAGCCCACGAGTTCGAGAACAGTCTGGGCAACTTGGTGAGAACTCCTCTCTATAATAAATCAAAAACTTAGCTGGGCGTGGTAGCGTGCACCTGTAGTTCCAGCTACTTGGAAGACTGAGGTGGAAGGAACACCTGAGCACAGCAGGTTGATGCTGGGGTGACTGTGAGCATGCCATGGCATTTCAGCCTGGGCAATGGAGTGAGACTCCAACTCAGAAAAAAAAAAAAAGAAAAAGTTTATTTCCTTTAGTGAGATGAGATGAGTGAAATCACAAATTGAATTAAAACACTATTCCTTGATTAATATTTTAATCCTATTTCTGCTCTTGTATAATACTATTAGAATACTAATACATCATAGAAATTAATATTTTAAAATTTGTAAGTAACTTTTAAATTATAGAATTTCATCATCTTTACACTTAAGGAATGCAAGCATTTTATGTCTCCCTCTTTATTGCAATAATATTTACATTGTAGCTATTGGAACTACATTTTTATAGCTTTTCTGTAATTCAGTGTTTTTTTGTGTTCTTTGTTTTCAATTTGTACTTAAGCTAATCAGGGAAGAGAAAATTGATGCAGTATCACATTGTATCTACAGGAAATACAATAACTGTGACTTGGTCTGTGCCAATCACACCTCAAAGTTGGTATAGTTTTAACACTTAAATACGTAAATGTGATGTCGGTTTTTTTGTTTTTGTTTTTTTCTCCCTAGGAGAGGGCCTTGTTCTGTTGCCCAGGCTGGAGTACAGTGGCATAATCATGACTCACTGCAGCCTCGAACTCCTGGGCTCAGGCAATCCGTTCACTCAGCCTCCAAGTAGCTGGGACCACATGCATGCGCTACCACAGCCAGCTAATTTTTAAAATTTTTGTAGAGATGAGGTCTCATTATGTTGCCCAAGCTATTCTTGTACTCTTGAGCAATCCTCCCACCTCAGCCTCCCAAAGTGTTGGTATTACAGACACGAGCCACTACACCTGGCTCTCCTTTAAAAAAAAAAAAAAGCTGAAAGTCTTGCTTTATCTCCCAGGATGGCTCACTGCAGCCCTAAACTCCTAGTTCAAGTGATCCTCCTGCCTTAGCCTACCAAAGCACTGGATCATAAGCATGAACCACGGCCACCAGGTTTTTCTCCATTTTTTAATGAGTACTTTTTAACTTAATAAGAGCCTTTTGATTTAACTGTGAAATCTTAGTTTTTAGTTTTGTTCTGTGTCCTCAAGTGCCTAAACCATTAGGAAAGTTTAGCAAACAATTAGTATTCTATTATAAATATACATGCTGTTGAAAGCTTTTTTCATGGAAAGCCTAACCAAGAAAATATGGAATGTATTTTATACATAAATGCCATTTATATATGGGATCAATAGAATCAAGAATTCTTGCCAATTAATTTCAGTCTTTATCAGGAATTCATTTAATACTTTTAAACATTAAAGTAATAGCTTTCTTGTTAAATGTTACATGCCATAATATTTTTTTAAATTGAGATTAATGGTGGTAAAAGAGCATATACTGTGTTTATTATGATAATAACTTACATTTTCCCTCTTTCTATACTTTCTTTTAATTTGTTAAAATAATTTTTTCAGCCAGATATAATAGTGCATATCTGTTATCCTAGCATTTTAGGAGACTGAGGTGGGAGATGGCTTGAAACCAGGAGGTTGAGATCAGCTTGGGCAACAGAGGGAGACCCCATCTCAACAAAAAATTTTTTAAAAAATGTTTAATAATTTTTTAAAAATTAATAATTTTTTTCTTTTTACCTACTGCTTTCTTTGTGTCCTAATCACTAATGAGTTAAAGAATCAGGCCGGGTATAGTGACTCTCATGCCTGTGATCCCAGTACTTTGGGAGACTGAGGTGGCAGGATCACTTGAAGCCAGGAATTCAAGACCAGCCTGGGAAGCATAGCAAGACCCCATCTCTACCAAAAAAAAAAAGAAAGAAAGAAAGAAAAAAATTTAATGAAGTGTTAAAGAATAAAAGAAAAATAAGTTGTATACACTCATGAATATTTTTTCTTTTTGGTATCATACCCTTCCAAACCGGTAGGAAGACTAGACTAGTGAACTAACAGCTTTCTACATTCCTTCAACTAGAATTTCTGATGCCCCAACTTGAAATTTGAAAGAAAAAAACCAAAAACTCAAGTATAGAATTTTTGGGTTTTTTTCCCCTCTCTCCCTTAAATATGTATAAAATAGAGTATTTTTTGAATATCAAGAAATTTATGGAGAAGAGAAAGAAGTGAGTATCTCATGTCCTAAGCTTAAAGCTGCTTGTGTAGCCTAAGCTGTCTTGTGCTATCCCCTACTTTGTGCAATAGTTTTTATTAACTCCTTTGACAGGATATAGAAGCCAGAGCCTAGATTTTCAAGCAGTTTATCAAATCCAGGCTGTTAGGACTAGTCATTGGGTAGCTGTTTATGTAATGGTAATCCTGCAGAGGGAAGTCCTCAAGAGTAAACATGTAGAGATTGTTGTAGACCAGACTCAGATACCATGTCAGACTCTCCTGCCCAGCCATGTTTAGAATGATTATATCAAGGGCGAGAAGAAAAAATGGGAATAAATGGCAATAATTGGATGTAATCAGATAGTACCAAGATAGTACTCATTTACTTATCCCACAAACATATCTTGAGCTCCCTTTATTGCTAGGCACTGGGAGTAAAATGACAAACCAGATATGCCTCTTTCTCTTAAGTTGCTCTTAATCTAGTCTAGTAAGATAGACACTTGCAGAGAATGACAGGACACGGTGGGAATGCTGTGTCACAAAGTTTCATCAAGAAAATAGTACAGACAGTGTCTCTATATGTCTGCGTTGCATTCTCACTGTAACACAAGATTCCCTGCCCTTGATCACATGACTGTAGTAACACCTTTACAGCAAGACAGCTGCTGTGGGACCTGCCCAGTCTTTATTTTTATTCTCGTTTATGGAGAGTATAGAGGGTAGGTCCAAGACATCAATTATTTGTCAGCTGACATTTTCCCGTCCCACTCTTTTTTCTTTGTTTAATTCTCAACATATTTGCCTGTCAGAACTGGGTTCTGTGGGAAGTTTAGGGAACATTAAAAAAGTTGAGTAAGTTCTACACATCTGTGCTATGTTACTCTTTGGTGATTAAAGCATGAACAATTTGCTTCTATTTCTCTCTGCATTTTTCAGGTTATCTAAAATGAATATTTGTTGCTTTTGAAATAGAAAAAAATGATTTTTTTTTTAGTTGGAGTCTCACTCTGTCACAGGCTGAAGTGCAGTGGCACACTCACAGCCACTGCAACCTTGGCCTGGTGGACTCAGGTGATCCTTCCACCTCAGCCTTCCAAGTAGCTGGAACCACAGGTGCATGCCACCACTCCCAGCTAATTTTTTTGATTTATTGTAGAGACGAGGTCTTGCCAAGTTGCCCAGGCTGGTCTTGAACCCCTGAACTCAGACAATCCTCTTGCCTCAGCCTCCTAAAATGCTGGGCTTACAGGTGTGAGCCATTGCGCCCAGCTGAAAAAAGAATTTAATACTTAAAAAGTGGAGCCATCCAAGTTGTTGTTAAATCCAGAAGCCACGGTGCTGTGTCCCCAACGTCCTTTTCTTCCCCTCCTTGTGTGTAGTTTAGGATCCAGCTGCATGGTGACAGCTGTGAATAGAAAGAATTGTAACCCATCCTAGAAACATATCCCTAGTCCCCCTTATCTGTGGCTTGACTTTCCACGGTGTCAGTTACCAGCTGTGGTACGAAAATATATGAGTGCAATACAGTAGATGTTTTGAGAGAGGGACCAAATTTACATAATGTTTATTATATAGCATTATCATATAGCATTCTCATGGTTCTATTTTATTATTAGTTGTTGTTAATCTCTTACCGTGCCTAATTTATAAACTGAACCTTATCACAGGTGTGTATGTTTAGAAAAGACATAGTGTACATTAGGTTTTAGCACTGTCTGTAGTTTCAGATGTCCCCTAGGGGTCTTAGAATGTACCCCTAGATGCATGGAACTGCTATACAACTTTCTAGCAGACATCCTCTTTTATAGCTATATAAGTATCTTGGAGTGTTATATTTTATTCAAATAATATTATAGATTATTTCTTTTCTGAAAGAAACCAAAATAATCTTTACTTTTAGGAAACTAAGTGTTTAAGTATGCCAAAGTATTTTGATAAACTCTATGGATTATACATTCATTGAAAGTTTTCTACAGTGTTTTTTCTTTCTGCAAATAAGAAAAAATTTTGTACTAGGATTTTTCTATTATTTAGATGTCTGAGCACTCTTTTTTTTTTTTAAAGTCAGAGTCTCACTCTGTTGCCTAGGCTAGAGTGCAGTGGCACACTCACGGTGACCCCAGCCTTAACTTGCTGGGCTCAGACGATCTTCCTGCCTCAGCCTTCCAAGTACCTGGAACTACAGGTGCATGCCACCATGCCTGGCTAATTTTGTGATTTATTATAGAAATGAGGTCTCGCCAAGTTGCCCAGGCTGGTCTTAAACTCATGGACTCAGGCAATCCTCTCATCTCAGCCTCCCAAAGTGCTGGGTTTACAGACTTGAGCCCCGGCACCCAGCTGTCCAAGCACTTTTAAATGAGGATTAAGAGTAGCAATCCCTACACCAAGTTTTGTGGGGATTAGCATGATTCCAGTGAAGTGGAATTTATGCAGCACAAATATAATTATAAATTTTGAGCTATATTAATGTAAGGTTCTACCCTTATATAAATTAATTTTTAAATATTCAACCTCCCAATTTACCCCATAGCAATTTTACTCTGCTAACTTGAGTATTTTGTATGTGGCTCCATTTTTGTTTAATATGTTTTCTGTTTTGCCATTTTTATATATAACAGATATGCACTTTCGCCACACTAAAAGGCCATGTAACAAATAATAATTGTCGTCATTTAATCTTAGAACTGGTGACAAGAAAAATGTAGCCTGGAAGATACTTCCAAAGAAGCCGTGTAAAAATCTGATGAACACGTTGAATAATTTACACCAGCAATTGGCAAGATGTAAGTGACTAACTTAAAGAAGGAAATTTAATCTGAGGAAGGGACAGCAATTACTTTGCCATACTAAAAAAAGAATGTTATTTTATTGACAGGGAAATGGTTTACAGTCTTATAGGCAAATAAGCATTAAAGTAAAATTTGTTGGAAGCTGAAGGAGAGATTTATAAAATATCTATTTTACATTTATGCAAATTTGTATAGAACCATCTTAGAATAATACAGTTCAAAAGGATGTTAAAGTGGTTGTTTAATTTTATTATTACTGAAATGCCATGGAAAAAATAAGAGTTTCCACTAATATATTTTCTTTTTACACAAAATAGTTATTTTGAAGTCTGATACAGGTATTTTAAACTACATTAGAAAATGCAGATGCTCTCAGTGGGGCAGGAACTGGGTTATGTGGGTCAGTACTGCACCTGACCTGATACAATAAGAACTCCACCTGCAGGAAAAAAAAAAAAACTCCAGTTAGGCACAGTGGCTCACACCTGTCAACCCAGCACTTTGGGAGGTAAGAGGACTGCCTGAGCCCAGGAGTTCAAGACCAGCCTGGGTAACTTGGCAAGGCCTCATCTCCACAATAAATAAATAAATAAATTAGCCGGGTATAACATCGCCCGTAGTTCCAGCTGCTTGGAAGGCTGAGCCAGAAGAATTCCCTGAGTCTAGCAGGTTGTGGTTGCAGTAACAATGAGTATGCCACTGCATGCAAGCCTGGGTGACAGAGTGAGACTCTGACTCAAAAAAACAAACAAACAAAACTCTGTAAGATGATTATTGTCCCTCATTTATTCATTTTATTTATCTATTTATTTATTTGAGTCAGAGTCTCACTGTCACCCTGGCTAGAGTGCCATGGTACACTCATGGCCACTGCAGCTTCCACCTCAGCCTTCCAAATAGCTGGAACTACGGGCGATGTCACACCTGGCTAATTTTTTTGCTTATTGTAGAGTCAAGGTCTTGCCAAGTTGCCCAGGTTACTCTCATAATCCTGGACCCAGGCAATCCTTTCACCTCTGCCTCCCAAAGTGCTGGGATTACAGGCGTGAGCCACTGCACCCACCTTGTTCCTCATATTTTAAAAAGTTTTTAAATTTTGAAACAGTCACAAACTTTTTTCCTGATTAGATGCCCCATTACCTTTGAGTTGAGTGTACTTCCCACCAGATATGTTCTCCTACATCACCACAGCATAGCCATGAAATTCAGGAAGTTCACATTGAGCATGACTACCACCATCATCCTCAGACACTTGCATTCAAGCCTGCTGGTTCTTGTAATAACATTCTTCATACAGAAGGACCCAGTCCCAAATGGGCATTGTATTTAGCTCCAAGTCTCTTATTCTCCTTTCTAGAACTGTTCCACTGTTTCTTCTTCTTCTTCTTTTTTTTTTTTTTTTTTTGACACTTAAAGATTATACTCACCATTGTAGAATGGTCCATGATATTATGGGTCTGGCTGCTTATCCTCATGATAGACAAAAGTTGTTCATCTCTGACAGAAGCATCACGGAAGTGAGACTGTGCTCCTCCTAGTGTACGCATATCAGGTCACAGTGTTTTAGTTTGTCCTATTACTGATAAGGATACTCACTTTGATCACATGATTAAGGTGTCTACTAGGCTTCTCTACTGTAAAGTTACTCTTTTGCTTTCTAAAGATTCTAGTGTTGAGTTGTCCAGATGAGAAAGAGTTGCTTTTTATATTTTATCTTGTGTGTTCCATCTGTAGGCACTTATATTAAAAAAAAAAAAAAGGAAGGCAGGACCCTGTGCCCAGTTAATATTCAGTTGCTCTCTGGGTTATAATCTTTATTAACTCACATATAGTTATTTAATAACATGAACTTTTTTGTAAAAAAAAACAACAGTCTTACTGTGTTGCCCAGGCTGGTCTCGAACTCCTGGCCTCAAGCAATTCTTCGGCCTAGACTTCCCAAAACACTGGTATTACAGGCATGGGCCACTGCACCTGGCCTGAACTTCGTTTGTCTGATGTTTGTCAGACAAGCAGGAGTAACTTTATATTTAACTTGAATAAAATGTACTCAGCAGGGCCTACAAAATGCTATGGCAAGCTTTGCAAAGGTTTACATATTATAAAGTTATGTAAACAAGGAGTTGGGTAGCTCAAGCCCTTTTAAAAACACAACAGATTTATACTGATACCATTATGAACTTTAGTTTTGACAGTTGAAAAGGAACACTAACACTGTTTCTTCACAGTGCAGCAGAGACCAAGAGATGATGGACTAATGGACTTAGCAATGAATGACTATGACTTCAATTCTGGAAAGAGGTTGCACATGATAGATTTGGAAATTCAAGAGGCGTTTTTGTTTTTTATGGCCTCTATTTTAAAAGGTTATAGATCATACTTAAGGCCAATAACACAAGCTCCATCTGAGACAGCCACAGATGCAGCCTCTCTTTTTGCCTTACAGGGTGAGTAACTTCATAGTTTTATAGTTTCGTGTTATTGTCATATTATTATCTGAAAGATGAGTAGAAATTATCCAGGCAAGGGCAAAGCAAGAGTGTGTTTTAGGCAGATAACAGTTTATGCAAAGTTCCTGAGGCCCAAAGGAAGTATACAGCGTAACTAGGCATCATCAGGTGGTGGAAAGTGAAGTCAGGAGATAGACCTTTACACCTCTACTCTGTTTCCAGTAAGCAAGACGCAAATATCAGTGAACACTGGAGGAAATGTTACTGCTGCTTGGAAAAAGCCATGTGTGTGTGTCTGTGTGTGTGTGTGTGTGTGTGTGTGTGTATGTGTGTGTGTGTATACTGGGGTGCCCAAAAAATGTATACACATTTTAAGCGATGTTAGCTATATATTATTTTTAGTTTGCTGTAATCAGAAGTCAAATGTAACTTGTATTCATCTTTTGTTATGGGTATATATTGAATATTACAATTTTAATACCATTTTTTCCTTACTTAAAATATGTATACACTTTTTTGGGCACCCTCTGTGTGTGTGTGTATGTATGGGAGGGGAGGGGGGAGGGAAAGCAAGTATGTGTACTTAACATGCAAAGCTTTTGAAGGTAGATAGCAAATTTTAAAATATTTTCGCATTTACTAGTTCCTGTGTGATCTTCAAGATGGTGAGGGGACAGTGGAGACAATTCCAGTGAGGGTCTAGAGATGGTGTTTATGTTCCTTTCCTGTCACTTTCCTGTTTCTTTGTCGGGTCATTTCCTCCTTGGGCACATGGACATGGTGGGGTGGGGGGTATAGATGACAGGATGGATAGAGTTCCTTCTAGCTCAGCTCAGGTATTCTGTGAATCTTTGGACAATGTTGTATATTCTGATGTGCTATATTTATATTGAACAGCTTTCCTAAGAAGCCGGGATCGGTCACATCAAAAATTCTATAACATGATGACCAAAACACAAATGTTTATTCGCTTCATTGAAGAATGTTCTTTTGTCAGTGACAAAGATGCAAGCCTGGCATTTTTTGATGATTGTGTAGATAAAGTAAGTATGCCTGCAGTACCCTAACTTATTTTGCCTGACGGCTATAAAAGCTATAAGTTATAGTTTCTATTTACAGCTTTTAACAAAGTCTAAATTAATTCAGTTTTCAGCATTGACCATTTACAGTGAAAGTTTTGGTAGCCTGCTAGAAATTACAGAGCACACTTCTTACAAGTGCCTTGTAGGGTTTTACTAAGCCACGAGTTTTATTTTAGCAGGCAGATCCCTGCCCCACCTGCTTTCTGACCCAGTGGGAACGTTTTTAAGGCTGTGCGCCTCTACCTTGGACATCCTTCACCTTCATTCATCTCCTCTTTGTGTCTGGGATGGATGGTCACATGCTGCAAGTAGATGTAAGGCATAGTGGATATTTTACCTGAATATTTCTGCAGTTAAGAGTGAATTTGAGCCGGGCTCAGTGGCTCAGCCTGTAATCTCGCGCCTTGGGAGGCTGAGGTGAGTGGATTGCCTGAGCCTGTGGATTCATGACCTGCCTGGGCAACTTGGCGAGACCTCATCTCTACAATAAATTTTAAAAAATTAGCCGGGCGTGGTAGTGCGTGCCTGTAGTTCCAGTTCCTTGGAAAGCTGAGGTGGAAGGATCGCCAGAGTCAAAGGTCGAGGCTGCAGTGGCCGCTGCACTCCAGTCTAGGTGACAGAGTGAGACTCCAACTCAAAAAAAAAAAAGAGTGAGTTTGAGCCTGGCTCGGATTCCCCGCCTTGGGAGGCTGAGGTGAGTGGAATGCCTGAGCCTGCGGGTTCGAGACCCGCTTGGGCAACTTGGCGAGACCTCATCTCTACAATAAATTAAAAAATCAGCCGGGCATGGTAGTGCGTGCCTGTAATTCCGGCTACTCGGGAGGCTGAGGCGTAAGGATCGCCGGAGCCCAGCAGGTCGAGGCTGCAGTGGCTGGAAGCGGCCACTGCACTCCAGTCTGGGCAACTGAGTGAGACTCCAACTCAGAAAAAAAAAAAGAGTGAGTTTGGTAGTTTAAATTAATTCTACTATTTCAAATGTGTGTATGAAACCTTCCCCTTTGGTCCTCAAGTCATTAGGTGGGACAGAGCAAGTAGGTATCCATGCTGGAGAGAGAGGAGGTGGGGAGTGGTGGTCCAGAGAGGGTGTCAGAGCCTGAATCAGGCAAGGAAGGAGGAGCATCCTAGCATGGGGTGTTGGAGCCCATACCCAGAGAGGAGCATGTCATGCAGAGGTTTGGTCTTGCTTAAGAGGCAGGACAAGCAGCTAAGAGAGTGTCCATCTTCCGGGGTACACTGCCACAGAGTATCAGAACCTAAATAGAATGAGAGGAACATTTGTACAAAGGTGAGAACAACACAGAGGGTCAGACTCTGGCCAGGGTGAGGGGTCTGTCCTCATGGGTGGGGGCAAATGGGTTGTCAGAGTTTGATCTGTCTGAGGGAGGTGCCAGCATGGGGGGGGGCAGGATTTGACCTGAGGGGAACTGTCAAAACCAACTTAAGGTGAAGAAGATGGGAGAGTGTTACATAGGACATTGATGAAATGTGAATTTTAAAGAAAATGAAGTTTCTGACTGTCAAGAAGGGATTTACAAATACAGAAGTAGAGAAAGCTAGAGTGAACCCTGTGGTACTGGTATGGAATTGGAGGTTTGGTGGTATTATTGGTTTTTAGTGATAGATACAGATATAAGTATAGCTCTAAGTGCATGTGTCTGTTTGTATATACTTTTCTCCAGCTCTGTGCATGGAGAGGGCTTGGGAGCAGCCATGCCCGACACCAGTGAGCTCAACTAATGCATAGAATTTGACTTCTAAATACTAGTCTCCACCAGAAGAATCAGGACACAGGGAAATGGTTTGTCCCAGGTATAGGGCAGGGAAACTAAGGTGAGCCCTTGTAAGGACTTGCTCCTAGATTTACGGAGGCATGTTAAAACACAAGCAACAGCCTACACATAGAATCTATTTGACGGGATTCCCACAGCGTGCCATCAAAGATGAAGGGAAAGGAAGTTACTTCTACTATATTTGAAGCTTTTCCATAAATTTGTGATTATTTAAATATGTATATAGTATCCGTGATCTTATGCCCATGATAATAGAAAAAAATAAAGAAGCAAAGCTTTATCATCTATTAGCTCAACAATTTTTAGTTGTAAAGTTATTTAAAGAAGTTCATCACTTTCAAATTTCTGTGACTGTGTGAGAAAACCGATGAGTTCTTTTTTTTTTGGCACAACAGCCAAAATATAACTCATCCCTCAATAGTCTGAAATTGACTCAATTCTGAGTTTAACATAAAACTGTTCTTTACTGATTGTTAACTAAGTATCAAATGTGCCATAAAAATGAGAAGTGATTCTTACTATGCATGATATAACAGGAAAAATACCATATTGGGAATCAGAAACATTCTCATCTCAACTGTTACATTATAACTTGAGTCATTTAGTCTTTATTGTTTTATTATCATGCTTTTAAAAATGTGAGGAGAGCATTATATCCACATATCTCATGGTGTTCTGAGTAGTGTTATATAACCAAAAAGTAGAAAATATTGTGACTGTTTTTATATTTGACTGGATTTCATTCATGTGTATAATTAGTAGCTTGTTTAGTTTTCATGGCATAGAAACGTTCAATTTTTGAGTGATTTGTACATACGAACAGCAGGGACAAGTTCAGAACCTTGTGTTGGCATTTACCTTTTCCTTGCATTTAGAACACTTGAGGGAAGGGTGATATAGAGAAATGCCGTTTTTGGTGCTGATAGAGAATTGTTTTTAACTTTTAATTTTTTATTTTAAAGATGTAGGGTACAATTCAGAGTTAGGTATACAAATGTTCATTATGCAGGTACCCTTGTTGATGAGGTGTGCCCCTGTCCTCCCCAGGCAGATTCTCACTACTGCCAATCCCTCTTCCCTGCCCCTCTCCCGGCAGTTTCCCGCTACTGCCAATCCTTTTCTTATAGTGTTAACGATAATTGTTCGAGGTCTGCTTATGAGTGAGAACATGGGAAACTCAGTTCTTTATTTCTGTGAAAGATCACTCAGTATTACAGACTCTAAGTCCATCCAGGTTGCTGTGAAGTTCATGATTCTGACTGAGAATTAACAAGCTAAGATGCCCAGAAATATCAGCCCTGGTCCTTGCAACACTTTAGAATAGGGAACAAATGGATACATGCCATCATCTGCTTAGAACTCATACTTCAGTTCCCACAGACACACTGATAGAAATGGTGAATCTGATGAAGTTCAAATTTTATGGGCGCACAATATTGTGCTATAAATATCTGTTAATTTTTTATAAGCCGGGCATGGTGGTGCACATCTATAGTCCCAGCTGCTCAGGAGGCTGAGGCTAGGGGATGCTTGAGCCAGGAGTTTGGGTCCAGCCTAGGCCCAGTCTCTAAATAAAAAAGCAACAAAGTATTAATTTTTTATGTGTGGAATGATATGCGAACCACATTCAGGACAGTTTTAAAAAATCAAATGTATTGAGACATACTATGCAAACAGAAAATGCACCATTGATGTGTATAGTTTGATGAGTTTTGACAAATATATATTTCCAGGTAACTACAACTTCCAAATACAGAACATGTCCTTCACCCTTTGAACATTGCTTTGACTTATTCTCTACACTTCGAATAACCTGTTTACAAGCAGATTTGCAGAGCTCTGCCTTGACAAAGCTGTGAGAGCCTGTTAATTTTGAGGAGATAATGTCAGAGCTTCTTGACATTCTGTCTTCATTATAACATTAAACCAAGAACGTGTTTTTCTGCATTTGAATCAAATTTGTACATTTGCCTTATTTAGTCAAATTTGTACATTTGCCTTATTTGGCAGATATTGACAATACATAGAAAAGTGTGCTTTAAAAAACTTCCTCTAAATCCTTTTTTCGGGAAATACTTGTGCTGGCCTTTTATACATGAAGATGTTTTTGACTGGTGTCATGAGCATGAATACTTCTCCCTCTGGTACCAGCCTTCCTGAATCCTAGGAGACCAGAGTAGTGATGAAGGTTTTGCTGATAGCATGCTTTTATCAATGAACTTGTTAGTCCAAACACTGAAGTGGCTGTAGGAATCCAGTTAACAGTGCAAAGAGAGAAATCTTATGTTGTTCCCTTTTATTTTAGGCCCACTTTATGTATCCTGTTCACAAGTTTCTTTGTAGCTAAGAACTCATATTGTAGTGTCACATGGTTTAAGGAAATATTCATTAATACTGTAAGACATACAAGATTTGTATTTTTTGCCAGCTACCTAGGATATCATGTCTTCAAGAGGATGTCTTAGTACTGATAATTAATGCATTGTATTGTCTAGGATTTTCTGTAAGCCACCTATTGTTTATGTGATGGGAGTCCATGTGGGAGATGACTGGAATAATTGCTTAAAGAATATGAATTTTGAGAAGTGTCAAAAAAGAAAATTCTGGCCAGGTATGGTGGCTCACACCTGTCATCCCAGCATTTTGGGAGGCTGAGGTGAGAGGAGGCCTAAACTCCATGAGTTCAAGACCAGCCTGGGCAACATGATGAGACCTCGTCTCTACAATAAATCAAAAAATTATCCGGGCATGGTGGCACATGCTTGTACTTCCAGCTATTTGGAAGGCTGAAGCAGAAGAATTACCTGAGCTCAGCAGGTCAAGGCTGTGGTAGCCGTGAACGTATCACTGCACTCCAGCCTGGGTGACAGAGTAAGACTCTGACTAAAAAAAAAAAAGAAAATTCTATAAAACATATACTCATTGTTTCTAGGTAGACTTGCCAAAGTCTAGATCCAATAAAAGATCACTTATATATAATGGGTTAACATTGCACTGAACGATGTTAATGACTAGTCAGAAAATGAAAACTAAAAGTTAACACACTAAAGCATAGTTACTTGAATTTGCTTTATTATAATTGAAGATCTTCTTTATTTTATTAGAGAAAATAAAGTGTCACAAGAATCAAAATATATCCTAGTGAACTGCATATATATTTAGAGCAGAAGT